TTTTTGGGATTTTCTTGGCAGTTTTTTGGGATTTTATGGGGATTTTTTGGGGTTTTTTGGGGATTTTTTGGGGATTTTTTGGGGGTTTTTTGGGATTTTTTGGGATTTTTTTGGGGTTTTTTTGGGATTTTTTTACAATTTTTTTTACGATTTTTTGGGGATTTTTGGGGATTTTTTGGGGATTTTTTGGGATTTTTTATGGATTTTTTTGGGATTTTTTTGGGAATTTTTGGGATTTTTTGGTGGGATAAAAACGGAATTTTTGGCGTTTTTTTGCGAATTTTTTGGGGGGAATTTTTGGGAAATTTTTGGGGAACTTTTGGGATTTTTTTTGGGATTTTTTGGGGAAATTTCTTTGGGGAAAAAACCTGGGAATTTTGGGCTCAAATCCCGGGATTTTGGGAATTCCCGGATTTTCCCCCTCCCCCGGCGCGGAAATGACGTCACACGGATGCAAATGAGATGCAAATGAGATGCAAATGAGATGCAAATGAGGCCACGGGTTTTTATTGGAGAATTCAGCGGCGACGGCGGAAACCTGGGGGGGGAAACTGGGAGTTACTGGTTTGAACTGGTTTGAACTGGGAGGGACTGGGATAGGGTTTGGGGTCTGGTCTGAACTGGTTTATACTGGTTTGAACTGGTTTTAACTGGTTTATTGGTCTGAACTGGTTTATACTGGTCTGAACTGGTCTGAACTGGTTTGAACTGGTTTGGACTGGGAGAGGGTTTGGCGTCTGGTCTGAACTGGTTTATACTGGTTTGGGACCTGCTCTGAACTGGTTCTTACTGGTTCATACTGGTTTATACTGGTTTAAACTGGTTTACACTGGTTTAAACTGGTTTATACTGGTTTTTACTGGTTTAAACTGGTTTTATACTGCTTTATACTGGTTTAAACTGGTTTCTACTGGTTTAAACTGGTTTAAACTGTTTATACTGGTTTTAACTGATTTTTACTGATTTAAACTGGTTTTATACTGGTTTTAAACTGGTTTATACTGGTTTATACTGGTTTTTACTGGTTTCTCCCCGCTCACCTTTTCTCCCTTTTTTCTTCCCCATTTTGGGTTTTTTTCTCTTTTTCCGCGGCGGCTCCGACGATTCCTGAGGGGAAAATTCCCAAAAATTCCCAAATTTCATCCCAAAAATCCCCAAAATTCCCAAATTTCACCCCAAAAATTCCCAAATTTCACCCCAAAATTTCCAAATTTCACCCAAAATTCCCAAATTTCATCCCAAAAATTCCCAAAATTCCCAAATTTCACCCCAAAATTCCCAAAATTCCCAAATTTCATCCCAAAATTCCCAAAATTCCCCCCAAAATTCCCAAAATTCCAAAATTTCACCCCAAAATTCCCAAAATTCCCAAATTTCATCCCAAAATTCCCAAAATTCCCCCCAAAATTCCCAAAATTCCCAAATTTCATCCCAAAATTCCCAAAATTCCCAAATTTCATCCCAAAATTCCCAAAATTCCCAAATTTCACCCCAAAAATTCCCAAAATTCCCAAATTTCACCCCAAAAATTCCCAAAATTCCCAAATTTCACCCCAAAAATTCCCAAAATTCCCAAATTTCACCCCAAAATTCCCAAATTTCACCCAAACCCCCCAAAATTCCCAAATTTCACCCAAAATCCCCCAAAATTCCCAATTTTCCTCCAAAAATCCCCAATTTTTTTTCCCCGGATTTTTTCCCGGCCACAATTCCCAATTTTTCTCCCCAAATTCCCGATTTTTTCCCCCCAAAATTCCTGAATTTTCTCCCCAAATTCCCGTTTTTTAGCCCCAAATTTTATTCTTTGGATTTTCCCATTTTTTCCCCATTTTTTCCCCATTTTTCCAGATTTTTTTAAAGTTTTTCCTCCCTAAATTCCCTCAAACTTTCCCCAAATTTTTCCCAATTTTTCCCCCAATTTTTTCCCTTTTTTTCCTTTGATTTTTTCCCATTTTCCCCCCTTTTTTTCCCATTTTTTTCCCCATTCTTTTCAACTTTTTCTCCCCAAATTCCCCGAAATTTCTCCCAAAATTCCCTCCAAAATTTTCCTCCTTTTTTTCCCCTTTTTTTTCCCCAATTTTTCCCAATTTTCCCTCATTTCTCCTTCAATTTTTTCCCATTTTTTCCCCATTTTCCTCCTTTTTTCCCCCATTTCCCCCAAGCCCCGCCCCCCTCTCACCTGATTGGCTCCCAAAAGGGCGGGAAAAGCCCCGAAGTTGGTGACGTCATCGAGGTCAGGCCCCGCCCCCCGGCGCCGCCGGCAGGGGGCGCTGAGGCGCTGCAGCATCGACTCCTCCCAGCGGCGCCTGCGCCCAAAAAAACCCCAAAATCGCCCAAATTTCACCCAAAATCCGCCTCGAAACCCCCGAATTCTGCTCCGGAAGGGTCGAATTGACCCGAAATGACCCAAATTCCGTAAAAATTGACCCAAAATTGCCCAAATTTGGATCAAAATTGACCAAAAATTGTTCAGACTTCGCTCGAAATGGGAGAAATTGACCCAAATTTGACCCAAAATCGCCCGAATTTCACCCAAAATCCGCCTCGAAACCCCCGAATTCTGCTCCGGAAGGGTCGGATTGACCCGAAATCACCCAAATTCCGTAAAAATTGACCCAAAATTGACCAAATTTCACCCAAAATCGTCTCGAATTCTCTCAAAATGCCCCAAAAAATTCCCTAAAAAAATCACAAAATTTCCCCCCCCCCCAAAAATTCCCCAAATTTTCCTAAAAAATTCCCAAAAATTCCTTAAAGTTCCCTGGAATTCCTGAACTCCTGAATTCCCTCAAAATTCCCTCAAAATTCCCCAAAAACATCCAAAAAAAATCCCGAAAATCCCCCAAGAAAATCCCCAAAAAATCCCAAAAAAATCCCCAAAAATCCCCAAAAAATCCCAAAAAATTCCCCAAAAATCCCCAAAAAAATTCCCAAAAAAATTCCCTAAAATCCCCAAAAAATTCCCCAAAAATCCCCAAAAAATTCCCTGAAAATCCCCAAAAAAATTCCGAAGAATTCCTAAAAGTTCCCTGGAATTCCTCAACTCCTGAATTCCTTTAAAATTCCCTAAAAATTCCCCAAAAACAAAAAAAAAAAAAATCCCAAAACTCCCTGAAAAAAAATTCCTAAAAAATTCCCCAAAAAAATTCCAAAAATTCCCAAAAAATTCCAAAGAATTCCTAAAAGTTCCCTGGAATTCACGAACTCCCGAATTCCCTCAAATTTCCCTTAAAGTTCCCTAAAAATTCCCTGAAAACATCAAAAAAAATCCCAAAAATTCCCCAAAAAAAATCCCCCGAAAAAACCCGAAAAAATTCCCCAAAAAATCCCCAAAAAATCCCCCAAAAATCCCCCAAAAATCCCCCAAAAATCCCCAAAAAATCCCAAAAAAATTCCCAAAAATTCCCCAAAAATCCCCCAAAAAATCCCGGAATTTTTCCCGAATTTTTCCCGGAACTTTCCGGAACTTTCCCCACCTCTGGAGCTCCTCCCGGTGCGGGGGGTGCAGCCCCTCCCCCACCTCCAGGGGCCCCTCCCCCAACTCCTGGCGCAGCTCCCGGAGCGCGGCCGAGTTCAAAGCCCGGAGCCGGAGCCGGAGCCGGGATCGGGATTCGGGATCGGGAACCGGGTCTGGAAGAGAAAGGGTTAAAAAAAACGGGGTTAAAAACGGGGATTTTGGGAAAAAAACGGCAAGTTTTGGGAGAAAATCGGGATTTTTGGGGAAAAAACGTCAATTTTTTGGGATAAAATGCGAATTTTTTGGGAAAAAACGCGAATTTTTGGGGAAAAAACGCGAATTTTTGGGGAGTTTTGGGTGAAAAATGGGGATTTTTTGGGAAGAAATTGGGATTTTAGGGGGAAAAATTGGGAATTTTGGGATAAAATTGGGATTTTTTGGGACAAAGTTGGGATTTTTGGGATGAAATTTGGGGTTTTTGGGATGAAATTTGGGGTTTTTGGGATAAAATTTGGGGTTTTTGGGGTTAAAATGGGGAATTTTGGGATTCCCGAGTTCAAAGCCCGGAGCCGGAGCCGGGATCGGGGTCTGGAAGAGAAAGGGTTAAAAATGGGGTTAAAAACGGGAATTTTGGGAAAAAACTGGGAATTTTCGGGATAAAAAGTGAATTTTTGGGATAAAAAGTGAATTTTTGGGAATAAAAAGTGAATTTTTGGGAATAAAATGCGAAATTTTTGGGGAAAAAATGGAGATTTTTGGGGAGTTTTGGGTGGAAAATGTGGAATTTTGGGAAGAAATTGGGATTTTTTTTGGGGGGGTAAAAGAGATTTCAAATGGATTTTGGGTCGAATTTTGCAGATTTTGGGTGTTTTTGGGTGATTTTTGGTTGATTTTGGATAATTGGGGGTAATTTTGAGGTGATTTTGGGTAATTTTGGGTCGATTTCTGCGGATTTCAGGTGTTTTCTGGGTGGATTTTGGGGTGGTTTTGGGTCGGTTTTGTCCGATTTTGGGTAAATCTGGGTCGATTTTGGCCAATTTTGGGTCGAATTTTCCGGATTTTGGGTCGGTTTCTGCAGATTTTGGGTGTTTTTGGGTGGATTTGGGGAGTTTTTGGGTCACTCACCGCAGCTGACGGGCACCAGCCGGGGCGGGACGTAGCGCCGCCCCCCGCCCAGCCCCGGGGCTTTGGCTCCGCCCCCTTGGCCTTGCTCCTCCTCTTCCTCCTGCGGGACACGCCCACCACACAAACCACGCCCACAATTACCATAAACCACGCCCCAGACCCCACAAACCACGCCCACAATTACCATAAACCACGCCCCAGACCCCACAAACCACGCCCACAATTACCATAAACCATGCCCCCGTGTCGCTCAAGCCACGCCTACTTTA